TATTATCATGTATAGTCTACACATTATTAATTATTCATATAAACTTTAGTATCCATATGATTGCAAAAGATTCTATTTTAAATGTAATTTTTAAGTCAGTCTCTTCGTAAGAAATATGTAAACTGACATATATGATTTCTACGTGCACTATATATACTCGATAATTTTAAGTTTAAAACTGTGAACAAATACTGCGTCAAAAAGACAATGCTAAAGAAACTATTTGTTAGGCAGGAAGTAACCATGGCGTTCTTCGATCGCCATGTTGCCACTCTGAGGATGGATTAATATTATATAAACGCTGTTATTAGTGGAATTACTGTAACTTATGACTTATCAAATTATATGTGCACTTGTGAAGTAGAAATTAGGCTCTGCAATACCTAAGTATATGAAAAAGAGACACTAATTGTAAGACGCACATCGTATAATGATTAGTTTATACAAATACGAAATCATTATTAAAATACATTATTTATATTTAAAAAAAAATAGTGGAACTTCTATCATAATATATATAGGTAATAGGTTATATTATTTTAGGAAACAGAAATATAATACAAGAGCCGCAATTAATTTTGCGACAAAAATAAATGACAGTTTGAAAATTTTTAATTATGTCACGAAAGTTTAATTTTGGAACAATAATATTGTAAATGAATACCAGGTCTAAAACGTAGCAAATGCAGACAATTAGAGTCGACATGTAATATGGTATGTATTTTGCAGATTTAAACGTTGTAGCGTTGATCCTATAAGGAAATATTTAGAGAATACGACAAAAAAAGTGAAGCCAAGGGGCAGATTAAGGTTTGAAAGTTCACGACATACAACAATCGCTATCTCTTTCGCATCTTGAATTTTTGAATTGAACATAAATAGAAAAAATTTGTGACAGAACATCTATATTATAATGTACTAAATATTATTAATCATTTCACTGTAAATAATGATTTAAGTAAAATTGGTATTTTTCTAAATGTAATCATGTTGTCCATTTCTTCGTAACAAGTGTGAAAACTGTCATATATTTTTCTGTCAGGTCAACACTTAAAATATTTAAATTTAAAACAGTGAGCAAATATTGTGTCAAACACAGAGTGAAAATTGAAGAAGCTATTTGTTAGTCGCAAAGGAACCTTAACGTTTTTGATCAATATTTATCAATCTTGGGATAAATTGTACATAACAAAATAATTATTATAACATATTAGTAAAGCAATTATTGTAACATATATGACTCAACAACTTATATGCACATATGAAGTAAGAAGACTAAACTGTGCAATATACGTTATAATTTTCTTGTCATAAACAACTCTAAAAGAATCTAAAAATTAATAATGACTGTTTGATTTAATATTCAATATTCTCTCTTTTCGCTTGGTGCATAATGTTTCAGAATTTTTCAAAAATATATTTATTACATCTTAAATGGTACATTAAAATGAATAAAATATTGATATACATTGATTATCAACTTGTATGTGGAATGCATATACATGTACAGTATTTGTTATTTGTATAACAGCATTTCTATATAAATATAAAACATCGCGTGATACATATTATTAGCAACGACAAAAAAATGGTATTTCCAGTATTTAACACATTTTTATACAAATATGTTTTAATTATTATTTAATATTGATATCGGTTTTTCTGTCGCAAGAATGCGACAGATTCGAAAATTGTATCAAGATTATTAAGTATGTGGTAATATTACTCACTATCTAAAAGTAAAACAAAAACGTATATTATAGATATTGTAATATTTAAAAGAAATAATTGATTACTTACTGCTGCAAGAAGTGTTGCATCAACATTAAGACCTTTTGCCGAAAAATTATTTTTTCGATGTAGCATTTGTAAAGAAAACAGCTGCAACTGTAATGTCAGATCGCAAAATAACTATAAATGCAGAACGAAAAAATGAAACTAAAAACACAATTGTACTTTAATAAATTGATTAAAAATATTTAAAAATATTGCGTTAGTATACATACATTTAAATACATACAATATGTATTTAGAAAAATTCATTGATATAATTATAAAAACTTACCTCGTATTTTATCTTTTCATCATTGGTATTGTTCAATAAATCGTGAATAGTGGTACGAATTATGTGGGCCTCATTTTTACCCGTCTCGCAGGCCCACACAAGTAATATTATTTTCAAACCATTATATATAATAGTCATAGTAAGCACATCAAGAAAATTCTTATCCAAAATAATAATGAATATCCCATCTTGCCAGCGCACTGCAAAGAAGTACAACTCAAAAGTGATAATTGAAAAACTCATAACTACAGTAGCAAGGAGTTGCAGACTAAAGATTGTATTCAGCATTTGCACTGCATCTCCAATCATCAGATGCCTCTTTTTTAAAATCTTAAGTTCTGCCAACAAAATTTGATTTCTCTGTACGTGGCAAATAAACCTGGAGACAGATGGCACCATATTGTTTATCATTTGTCTTTTTATATTCATCAAATTATCGTTGATTTCCTTGAAACACGTTTTTAATATACAAACACAATTTATATACATCATAATTATTTGTAATACCAGTATGGCAAAATACATCGTGAGCACCCCAACCAGAACATTGAAATAGCTGAATGAATACTTTAGCATTTTTGAAAAATTTATGAATAATTGCACAGATCTGATGATAATACTCAATATGTCCTTGATGTGAATCAATCTGGACAGCTTTTGGTACGATTCTGGGGATAATTTCGAAGAGATCTGCCATATTGTCTGCAATAAGCGCATTAGCGGACCACTTAAGACGTGTGTGGTAATCACTATCAAAGTGCTGAGCGCATAGTAAATAACAACACTTATATCCCAGATCACGCTTCCATATGTTATTTTTGAAGTAATAACGCTGTGTATGAATATTAAGTTTATAACGCAGCAAACGCAGACAACGATGGATGACAGGATATAATGTGGTTTCGAAGTCTCGAAACTCGAAGTGTTGATCTTATACGGAAATATTCCGAAAATACGACATACGGTGAAGCAGGGATACATTAAGGATTGGAAATCCGTGGCGTTGCACAACCACCATCTTTTTTGCATTTTGCTTTTCCTTGGGTCTTAATGTTAAACACAATTAGTAGAAATTCATAGACTAACAGTGTATATTATTATGTATAGTCTATATTATTATTTTACATATTAGTATTAGCATCAATGTGACTGCTAAAGATTTTTTTCTAAATGTAACCTTCAAGTTGGTCTCTTCGCAAGAAATATGTAATCTGACATATATGATTTTTACGTATACTATGTATACTCGATGATTATAAGTTTAAAACTGCGAGCAAGTGTTGTGTTAGAATGACAAAGATACCATTTGTTAGTCGCGAAGTAACCATGGTGTTCTTCGATCGCCATGTTGCCACTCTTATGATGGATTAATACAAATGCTGTAGAATTATTGACTTATGTCTCATCAAATGATATTTACACATGTAAAGAAGAAATTAGGTTTGGCAATATCTATATGAATCAGTGATGGACATTAAAACGCATATCATACTTATAATGATCAGTTTATAATAAAAACTAAATCTCTATTAAAATACATTATTTATATTTTAAGAAAAAGTAGAGGCACTTCTGTCATAACATATAGGTAATAAATGTCTTATTGGGAAACAGAATTATAATGCAAGAGCCGCAATTATTTTTGCGAAAAAAATAAATGACAGTTTCAAATTTCAAATTTGTTTTATTATCGCCATCTCTTTCGTATCTTACAATTAGTTTGTCTTTGAGTAATACAAGTTAAATTGAGAGAAGTCCAATACGATCTTAGTATGCAGGATCTTGGTGCTCCTAATACTTCTATATGATTTTACATTCATATTCTAGTTTCAATGAACTGTGTGCTGTTATTTTCGGATTCAACACAGCTCATTGCTTGAAACCATGGACCAACATGGACGAAGCATTTTGATGGGTAACAGAGATTAGCAATAAGGGGAGATATGATGCACTTCGACTAAATTCGCTTATACGCTTCAGATATCTTCGGCTTCATGTCGCATATGTGAATGTTACATATATAAGTTATGTAAAAATGTATTAGTGATTATAATAAATCCCGGAATATTAAAAAAATCCTGAAGAAGATATTTTGTTTTTGCATGTAACTATAATTGAAATGTTATTGAAAATAAAACTTTTGTATATATTCACCCAAAAATTAGTCAATATTTATGTAAAACAATCTAATATTCTAATTACTTCGACATAGTATTTTTACGAGTTATATTCTACATTTATATTTACAAAAAATAACACTCTTTGAAATTAACATGAAATATATAAAATATATTAAACACGTAATATTAACTAGAGGATGTTTATAATATCGACGCGTTAAATGACAGATGATGTGATTTAATCTTATGTATCATACAAAAAAAAAACACGAATCTACGAGCCGAATTATATCGAGTTCCGTCAAAATTATTCAATCTGGGTCTGATCTTTCACCGCTAAATTTGAACCCCCCCCCCCCCTTCCACTTGTCCTAATCGGCAGCGTATCATGTTCTGTCCATGCTTGAAACAAAACAGTATTATCACGTTATTAAATTGATAATCAATTTAATAAATGCTGACTGATATTCTTCGGCATCTAATAAAATTCCGCTCACCCTTGCAACGCGATATAAATGCTAAGAATTATTTGCTGCGAAAAATATTACCTCAGCCAATTTAAACCTGAGACTTCTACTTTTGTCTTCGAATTTTTTAATCAAACATAAATAGCAAAAATTTGTGACAAAATATCTACAAAATATCTACTAAACATCTACTAATTAAATCTACTAAATATTATTAATCAATTTACAGTCAATATTCATTTAAATGAAATTTATCTTTTTCTAAGTGTAATTAAGTCTGTTTCTTCGTAACAAGTGTGAAAGCTGTCATGTACTTTCTGTCAGGCCTACACTTGATATGTTCAAAGCTTGCGACCAAGTGTTGTGTCAATCACAGAGTTAGAACTGAAGAAGCTATTTATATTAGTTCCGAAGTAATCATAACGTTTTTCGATCAATGTTTATCAATCTTGGGATGAATTGTACAAAACAAAGTAATTGTTATAACATATTAGTAAAATAAATATTGTAACATATTATGAATCAACAAATTATGTGCACATATAAAGTAAGAAGACTAAATGTGCAATATACATTATGATTTTCTTATAATAAACAACTCTAAAAGAATCTAAAAATTAATAATGTCTGCTCGATTTAATATTTTATATTCTCTCTCTTTGCCAATGGGGCATAATATTTCAGAATTTTTTAAAAATATGTTTATTATATCTCAAATAATACATAAAAATGAATAAAATATTGATATACATTGATTACCAACTTGTATGTAAAATGCATATACATGTATTTGTTATTTGTGTAACAGCATTTCTATATAAATATAAAACATCGTGATTATATATTATTAGTAATGACAAAAAAAATGGTATTTCCAGTATTTAACACATTTTTATACAAAACATGTTTTAATTATTACTTAATTGATATCGGTTTTTCTGTCGCAAGAATGCGACAGATTCGAAAATTGTATCAAGATTATTAAGTATGTGGTAATATTACTCACTATCTAAAAGTAAAACAAAAACGTATATTGTAGATATTTTAATATTTAAAATAAGTAATTAATTACTTACTGCTGCAAGAAGTGTTGCATCAATATTACGACCTTTTGCCGAAAAAATATTTTCCCGATGTAGCATTTGTAAAGAAAACAACTGCAACTGCAACATCATATAATAAAATAATTAAATGCAGAACTAAAAAAATAAAACTGAAAACACAATTATGCTTTAGTAAATTATTAATATTACAAATATTAAAAATGTTTAAAAATATTGCGTTAAAAATATAGTATGTATATAGAAACATTGATATAATTATAAAAACTTACCTCGTATTTGATCTTTTCATCATTGGTACTGTTCAGTAAATCATGAATAGTGGTATGAATCTCTTTGGCCTGATTTTTACCCGTTTCGCAGGCCCACACAAGTAGCGTTATTTTCAAAACATTATATATAATGGTTATAGTAAGCATATCAAGAAAATTTCTATCTAAATCAATAATGAATATCCCATCTTGCCAGCGCACTGCAAAGAAGTACAACTCAAAAGTGATAATTGAAAAACTCAGAACTACAGTAGCAAGGAGTTGCAGACTGAAGATTATATTCAGCATTTGCACTACATCTCCAATCATCAGATGCCTCTTTTTTA